TAAATTCGAATTTTGATAATATTTAAGTACAAAATTCTAATTTAGTTTTTCAGCCATTTTGACAGCCCTACTACTGTTCAAATGTTTGTAGTAATTTTGTTCAGCATGGATGCATAAAATGTATCAAAAGTGCCAGTAACAACTTATATTGCTACAAATATTTTCTACTTCAAATAAATTCAGTTTTGTTCATTAAAGAATCCTGGAAAAAAACGTTATCATGGTTTCCACAAATATATTAAACGGCACAACTGCTTTTAACATTGATAATATTTCTTGAGCACCAAATAATCGTATTAGAATGATTTCTGTAGGATCTTGTGACCCAGAAGACTGGCGTGATGATGCTGAAAATGCAGCTATGCCATTACAAGAGGAATTTTTTTTTTTTTATATATATATTACAATTAATTATTTTAATATTTTCAGTTTCACTTTTAGTTTTATCTCAAAGATATTCAAAAGGCAAGCACTCATAGAAACGAACACACTAACATCAAAGCATAGAACATAAACAAATCTGAATCATGGAATCTCAGCTACACAAGATAATCTCAAATCTTGCTGTTGTGATTTCAAGCAGTATTTGTACTGACGAATACAACCTCCATAGAGCGTGTGCCGGCCTGTGAAGGGTGAGTGTTTGGGTATTGTTGAGGTCAGTAATGGGTGTTGTTGGAACATCAAACATTATTTTGCAGCGATGCAGCGTAGCAGTGTTTTTGCACTTTACTATGATCATGCCACCCTCCTACATAGCAACAGAGATAAAAGGATGACTAATGTGTCCAGTGCAGAAAAATATGCATTTAACACTCGTGTTATAACTTGAAGATGTACAGTATAAGGCGTACAAGGGCCAAATGCAAAACAGCTATTTATGGATTTTCAGGTTGCAAGGTTCCTCATAGGGGTTCAGTATGAATCTAAAAAGCTTTCTGTTGCATCTATCGTAACAGAAACACATTTACTGTAAATGCATCCACTATTTGCATGACAGTCATTCTGTCTGTCTGTCTCTCATTATTCACACTAGGGCTGGTGCGGCCCCGCCACAGAGCCCACTGTTGTCAGACCAGCTTAAAGATCAGATGGTATTAAAGCCTGCAGTCGTCATGGAGACCACTTCCAGGAGACTACTAATTGATCTCACTTCCGTTCCACTCATGCTTGTGCTGAGAAGGTGTGAAACACAAAGCATAGCAAGAAACATATAGATGTCTGTGCATAGCAGCTGGGAAACAACATTACTCTTCCATTACTACAGATTTCTTAATGTGAGACGTAGAAAACAACATCTGTATTGAATTTTCAAAGCAAAGCAATAAGACAGAAAACACATCTCTTGATTTACAAGCCATTAAAATCCCAGAATCCCAGAACCTGCCCCACTTTTGCTGGTAGAAATGGAAGAACATCGAGGGAATAGCACTAACCTGCGCTGCCTGTGCTGGGGGCCCTCTGTGGGGGCCCGGCAGACACTACGTTTCTGTGCAGGGAACCCTGAGGAGGAGACAGCATGGCACCGTCACTCAGAGAGGCAGCGGCGGCCAACAGGCTCTGGCTGCTCAGAGAGGCCCCGGGGTTGTAGGACATGGTGTTGGGGTTCGTCACTGGCACAGCCACATGCATGGAGAAGTTCTGCGGGGGCAAGGCCGTCGGCTGGAAGAGAGACACACACACATAGGGCTTTATGTGGGAGGCATCAAAGACTCTTAAAGCAACCTGTCATGCTTGTATTTCATCTAAATACCCCAGTATCAAAATTGACATTCACACAGATAAATGAATTATATCTCAACAAGAAACTGTACAATCGGAGAATGGTGGCCAGTTGGTTCTGTGCAGCGTTCGGATTCATTTAGCCTGGATATTCAGGTAGAATGGCCCATAATGGTACGCTGCACATATCTTCAGGCTTCTACTAGAAGTGAAAGATGACCCCTGAGCTTTGGTGCTTTTATCATACAATAGAGGAAAACAGGAGATAGATTGCCGGGTGGAAAAATGTAATCTCGGGAGGGAGATCTCCGGATCACCTTGGGCTGTCCAAAAAGCCCGGCATAAAGTGAGAAATACTCCTGGAAAACAATTCTCCTATTGGGAGTCATTTTCACTGTGCTCAGAACACCAATTTTGACCCAGGTTCAATACATAAAACAACATCTTGGGATGAGAAATATTACGATGGCATGCAAATTTGGGAAATAGCTTGAAATAGCTTGGCTATAGCCAGCACTGCACTTGGCCATTTTCACAAAACAAAACAAATAAAACACACAAAAAAACACACTTTTTTTAAAATCAATCAATATACATACATTTTATACTGGGGAAAAAAAGAGGTGAAATAACTACATCATTTGACAGCAACGCTGGCATCTTAATCATATTAACAGGCAGTGCATTGCTGACTATCCATCCAGTTATCCAGAGTGAGTGTGAGCAGGGACAGTGTCCATTCACTTAATAGTGCAGCGAGCCAGTTAGTGAGAATATTAGTGTGTTAATGACACAGAACTCGAGCTTTGTTCATATCCATTCGGTGCAGTGAAAACAATTGTCTGGCACCCACTATAAGGTGCAGAATGTTATGGTCAACACCCAATAAGATCACTATTGTCTCTATTGTTAAAAAAATAAAATAAAAAATATGTGCAAAAAGAGATTTTGTAGCTAAATACTCCCAGATTTATTTGTTACTAGCTTTGACTTGAAAATGGTTCAGCTATTTGATTGTGCTAGGACTCTGGGATCTGGAAGGACTAAAGAAATTGTCCAGGGAGGTGAACAAACAAACCCAGGTGTTGCAACCCACCAGAAAGAGTGAGACTAAAAGAAATCAGTTCTAATGAGTGGAGGAGAAACGGTGAGAGTCTCTCCATCTTTATACAATGGCAAATCTTCTCCTGGACAGAGCACAGCACTGAGAGAAAATAATCAATTTCCAGATCTGTTCGGGCGAGTGCTGGGAAGAACATATCAATTACCTCAACCAATGAATCTGTCAGTATTGTAGCCAGAAGGTGGACATAGAGACATTCTGTCCGAAAAAAAAAAAATACTGTAAATAGATCACACTTGTACTAAACTTTTTTTTTTAAATACAGTGGGGCCCAAAAATCCACACCGAAAATCTTTTACATTCATAAATTTGGACAGGTTTGTGCAGGTTAATATAAGCTAATAGGTGATGTAAATTTAATGCTAATTAAACTTTTCACTTAAATTCTATAATTTGTCATTTAAAACAACATACTTGACTACAAATAGTAAAAATCGTAATTTTATACCTCACTGTATGTACAGTATTTAAAAAGTGTTTATTATTTTAGAAATCGATCAAATAAGCTTGTGATCTTAATAATGTGAAAGGTTTAAACAATGTGATCTTATTAGGGTGAGAGAAAAAGGCTGTAAAATTAATGAGAAAAGTGCACTTCCAACAGACAAAAAAAAAGAAAAAACTATGCTTTAAAAAATAAATTAAAAAGTCCTTAACTGTTGACAGAGGTTGCAGGGTGAGGCAATGAAAAAAGGGGGGGAAGGGGGGAGTATCCTTTCTGCCACAAAGCCAAGCAAAAACGTTGCATTTACTTACGAACATATGAGGCGTCAGGATCCGGGCTATCACAGCCTCTGTGTTCTTTCTTGTTAAGCGCCTGTAGTGAACATCAACATAAAAAGAGGAATCAACACAAAAAGGCAGGGAGGAAGCAGTACTTACACCACAGCGCTTGTACATTAAATCACTCTCTTCGTTTAGTTTGCCGAAACGGTCGTCCATGAGGGGACTGTGACCGAAACAGTCATCTGGGTCAGGACTGGCACACTGGTCATTATGGCCTTTGTTTCTTAATTTCTGAAAATGAAATTGGAAAATTCACACATACATAGACATACGTAAACCCAAACAACTGTTATCGTTGGGTTCATTTACACAATGAAAAAACGATTGATTAGTGAATATGACAGTTAACTACTTAAATAATCTAGGTCAGAACATGTTGATAAAATGCATAATTCACAGAATGTAATAAAGAAATGCAGTTACTGAACTTTGCTACAATTGCATGCTGTGATCAGGATGTTGAAATTGCACTGGTAACAGTTCAATGGATAATTTGGCAAATACATTAAGAGCTAATACGCTGATGGTTGCACCATGCCTATTGCATTAGCCCCTGGGGAGGAAATTGAATTGCCACTCCTTATCCTTTCCCTTAAAAACATTAGGCTGGGGAAAACCAAATCGTCTTTTCTCTCTCTGCGTTTCTCTCCCTTCCTCCTCTTTGCTCTCTTTCTTAGGAACATACATTTCCCTCTGCATGTGTGTGTTGTGATGCATATTTCATTATCTTTCAGTTATCATAAGCCACCCAGCTGGAAGACACACACACACATAAGAGGATCCCACAGTGCAGTGCTTTAGAAGCTCTCTCGCTGTAATTCAGCACACCTGCCACTCACAGGAGCCTATCAGAGTGAAAGCAATGTACAAATTGAACGGATTATCAAATCCGGTCACTAACATTTATTTAAGTGTGGAGAGGACTGATTATTCTAAGAGCAAAAGTGCAAAGGGCAGAGCACCTGCTGTAATATTAGCCATTTTACCCCGAGGGAACGGAAGCTTTTTTGTAGTTTTTAATAAATACAAGTCTGTATTTCTTTTGTCAGAGGGGAGTCTATTGGTAACACATTACTTAAGGCCTGTATAATGCATTGTAATATTTACATGGTAGATATTAAAAAAAGCATTATCACAACACACAATTTAATGTGCGGTAATGCGTTACAGCCTTTAAAGGTACAGTATAAACATTACCAGACAAAAATTGCATTGTAGCCTATTATCAAGTATTTATGAAAATAATGATAATGATCATTTATGAAATACATCTTTGAAATTTCATACATCATTATGCATTATAATTAATTATGAAGATAATTTAATACAATTACAATTCATTTTTGGTAATTAAAAAATATATAATTTAATGTAAATTAATAATTTAATGAAAGGCAATTTATGGAAAAAGAAGATAATGCATTACCATAACAGCATATCTTCATAATGAAGTAAAGTGTTAACCTCGTATTTTTCAAACTCGCCTTTACCCATCACACCGTTTACATTAACAAGATGACAGCGAAGGTTGCCAGGTTCTCAAACAAGGGAAATCTTCATTTGATGCTCTGGTCTGTTTCTTACTACTGTACACAGAGCTCCTGTAATAAGACTACTGTACCTCAGGATGGTTTGGCAGCAGAGGTTACATGTTTTTTCAGATGAAAAAGTCATGTTTGGAAGGAAGTGAAGCAAAGCACATATACACTAACAAGCCCCTAAGTCTTTGCATCTATCACGATGTGTGTGAGAGTGTAGGTACGTGTGTGGGTGTGTGTGAGAGTGCCTTTAGAGTGCAGCTGCTGTCCTCTGGTATTTCTGTGACTGTAGAGTGAGATCTTTGTTGATCCTTATCTACTTTATCTAACAACATGCAACCAAGCTCCGCGCGAAGTGAACTCAAACCTGCATTTACACACATGCACAGGAACAATCGATACATGTACACAATGTGCCTATGCCTAAGCGAAACACAAAATGCAAGTGGTATACAGCTTCTAGCTACAGATACATGGCTTTTCTGGGACCATCTGAAACCATAAAGCTATTTAGTGTGGTGCCGAAGGTGGCTCTCGCTCGCTTTTTCTGAGCAACGCCTTCCCGGGTCATTTCCTGTTTACAGGGCCCTATGTGGCTCTCTGAAACACTGTGTTTACCAGTGAAACTATGCACTTTCTCCCCCAGAGTGCCACAGATTCCATCGGGACCTGCAAATTATAGTCCCAACCTGCTCATTATGTGGCAAGCACTGTGGCTGGAGCTGGGCAGCGAGGTCTGTGTGAGCAGGGCAGGGCCGCTGACTTCCACAGTAACCCTAGGGACACACCCGTCCGCTGGGGCCTGAGTCGGCAGGGAGGGGCCCCTGTGGAAATCGCAGACCACCAGACCGGCCTTCTCATGGGCACACCATGCTGATGAGCACAACATTTCCAAGCAAAGAATGTGATGGAACTACATTATAGACCTTAATCAGAGCAGATGCCATATTGAATTTTACACATATGAAAATGGAGATGTGAGGGATAGACTTACAGAAATACAATGGCATGCACTGTATAAAGGTCTTAGATAATGTATTTTTCAAAACTCTGAACTCTGAATGAGATTTTGTCTACTGAAAGTCTTTTGGAAAGATGTTTTGTCAGCTGAACAATTGGCATGTTGTTAACCAACAGTAAACTGTAAAAAAATATATAAATAAATAAAACTAAGATTATTGGAGTAAAACACTATTTCAATCTTGCTACTCGAAATTTTCATGTTTAATTTCATGAGCAATTTCTGACTGAAAAATTGTTACTTTGCAAAAAAATTCAAAGCTGTAAACAAAATTCTGTTATAGCTATTAGATTCTGTTTTACAAGAAAATACTATTTCAGTCTTTCTACTTCAAAATTGCATATTTAAAGTGTTACTTGCCATTTCTTTGTAATGATTTGTAAAATTTACTAGCAATTTCTGAGTTAAAGTTATTTAAAAGAAAACCCTACACTCGTTTTCATTTCCTGTCATAATTAAATATGGCACTAAGGTCTATTATGCATAGAATCAATCAAATGTGGCCCTGGACCACAAAACCAGTCGCTGGGGTATATTTGTAGCAATAGCCAAAAATACATTGTATGGGTCAAAATTATAGATTTTTCTTTTGTGCCAAAAAAACATTAGGATATTAAGTAAAGATCATGTTCCGTGAAGATATTTTGTAAATTTGCTACTGTAAAATATATTAAAACTTAATTTTTTATTAGTAATATGCATTGCTAAGAACTTCATTTGGACAACTTTATGGCGATTTTCTCAGTATTGTGATTTTTTTGTACCCTCAGAATCCAGATTTTTCAAATAGTTGTATCTCGGCCAAATATTGTCCTATCCTAATAAACCATACATATATGGAAAGCTTAAGTATTCAGCTTTCAGTTGATGTATCAATTTCAATTTTGAAAAATTGACCCTTATGACTGGTTTTGTGGTCCATGGTCACATATTGTCAGTCAAAATCAGTCGTAAACAGTGTGACATATGCCAAAATAAAGCAACACAATAGCACTAGTATGGCCTTTTGTCTTGCAAAAGAGATCACATTTGTGCATTCCCATACTGCATCATGCCCCCAAGTGCTTTGAAGTCTGAAGGACAGGGATAGCACACTGGTAATTCCTTCTTAAATGGCTTGGCATGTTTTGGGTGTCCCACAGACACTGCCCGCAGCTCCAGTAAATGGATCACTAAATCAGCACATGTCCAAACAGGTGTCCCTCTCCCCCAACACCTGTCAGCCCCTTCACCTCACGATGCAGCCAATCAGCGGCCTCCGCACATCAGCACGGCCATAAAAGGGCACGTTATGCGTAGCGATCAAAATCTGTCTACAGCAGAAAATAAGTCGCTGCCAATGAGCGACTCAAGTGAATCCATTAAATACAAGCACAGATGGGGGCATGAGGTTGATCACGAGTTTGATTAAACCGGATCATTTGCATTCTTAATTACACCTTTAAGTGTACGGCTGCACATGATCTCTCATCAACAGGCCAAGGTGGCGACTGCATGCAACATCCTTTCAACCTTTGCAAAAAAAAAAAATTATGATGGTTGTGAGTTGCCTATCTAGACAGTATTTTACTGTGTATTAAAGATAAGCATCCAAACAAACATTTTCTTAATCAGTTCTAATATTGTCTAATATGGTAAGTTTTGTCAGGGAAATGAAGTGTTATTGTTATCGGAGTGTGGGGATGGCTGGCTCATTAGGTGTGTGTGTGAGACTGGATTGTGAGTGTGTGAAAGAGGGAGAGTGGGCAGTGCTGGCGTAAGCAGTTCTGGAGAGGGAGCTGAAAACTCATATTGTGTAATCTGTTCAGCATGTCCCGCATGGCTCAGAGACAGGACAGTGGGACAGCTGCCAATATTCGTGCCAATATTCGTTTTTTTTTTATATAGAATGCATGCCAGACCTGTATTGATAAAACTTTGGCAGTCCACACAAAAAATGAGAGACTGACGTAAAGCCAGCACGACATAACTGCGTAGTGAGTGCATTTGAATGTTTGTGTGTGTGCGTTTGAGATAAAAGGAGAACTAAATAACGAAAGAAAGGGACAGAGAGACATACTTAGAAACCAGACAGTTTAAAAAAACCTTTTTTTCTCTTCTACAACACACAACTTCCCTCTCTCAGACACTCCCTGAACAGCCACTGGAAAGATTACTGGAAAAATGAAATGCTGTGAAACAAGTTAAAGCTCTTGCATAAGAAAGCACAGTCAAGCTCAACAAAAAAGACATGATTTGCCAGAAATGTCAAACTGGAGAAAGTGTTTATCACTAGGATTGCTCTAATATTAAAATTCAGACAAAAACCTAAATTTTTGTACCCTCAGAATCCAGATTTTTCAAATAGTTGTATCTCGGCCAAATATTGTCCTATCCTAATAAACCATACATATATGGAAAGCTTAAGTATTCAGCTTTCAGTTGATGTATCAATTTCAATTTTGAAAAATTGACCCTTATGACTGGTTTTGTGGTCCATGGTCACATATTGTCAGTCAAAATCAGTCGTAAACAGTGTGACATATGCCAAAATAAAGCAACACAATAGCACTAGTATGGCCTTTTGTCTTGCAAAAGAGATCACATTTGTGCATTCCCATACTGCATCATGCCCCCAAGTGCTTTGAAGTCTGAAGGACAGGGATAGCACACTGGTAATTCCTTCTTAAATG